GACAGGCACATTATGGTCGAAGTGGCTCATCTTGATCTTGTTTAGGCTTGTAGATATGTTTGATTTTGCTGTAGATGTCGGCATGCTTTGCTGGCTTTGGTGGCGCGCTACGGTCCTATTATTGCTACTATTGCACTTGGGGACCAAGCCGCTCGTTGGTTGGGCTGTGGATGTTGAAATGCTAGGATCCCCATAGTGAGCATTGTGGACTCAGTTCTAGGCTTTAGAGCTAGACTTCCGAAATAGCTTGGGCCATTCATGTTCAAGTTTTGGCTTCGAAAGGTCTTCTAGGCACCCTTTGGGGTCTACGATTGGAGGATTGGCCTAAGGGGGCACATGATAGGTAGGGCAATTGCTGTGGTACATCTGGGCTGCCCCATTGCTTCCATCATCATGACGAGCCGATTGACTATTCTCTGCAGTGGAATGAATTCTTTGTGGGTTACAGGTTTCAACTGCTAAGCCTCGTGGGGAGAGGAGGTACATTTGGAGTGAGATCCCCGTGATGGGGATTGCGCACTAGAGTGGTCGAAGGTGTTTTTTGGAGTCATGATCGCTAGTGCGTGAGAGATGAGAGAAACTAAAGGCTTTCCATACCGGTTCCCATTGATGACACCAATATGACGTTGTTTGAATCAAGTCAATGCCGAGGTGGATATGCAATAGATAATTCTATCAACCTAGATGAGCCGAAGTGGAAGGACATCATAATGCATTGTGCAGATCTATAACTAAATAGTGGTCAAAGGTCCTAAGGATGAGGTCCTCGGGGAAGGCACTCTGACGCTCAAGTCAATAAATTTTGGGCAGTGGTTAGCCGAGTTGAGCTATTGAGGATGAGTTGATCCATGCCAAAGAGGGAAGTATGATGTGGTTAGGAAAGCAAGAGGGCTAAAGAGCGAGAGAGAATAGAGAGCCTATATCTTGAGGGGAGATACCTTTAAATAGATGCATATCATAACCAGTTGAGTTTTGCTTTGCGTCCCACGTATCACATCCCTAAAGAGACCAAGGTCCATGATCTTTAGAGGTTCCATGGTCTATGGCGCGGGGTGTCATGGAACTTATCCGCCTAGGGTCTTCACAAGGCGGCCTGATCATCTACCTAGTGTTGACTCAAAACTGCAACGTGGCCAAAGTCATCAAATGGGCCCTCTCTAGGGGTGCCAATTGACTAGTTTTGGTTTGGATCCAATCCGATCCAAACCTTATCAAATCGAATTTGGACTGTTCACTATAATTATTGGATTAGGCCAATCCAAAATAAATTGGTCCATATTCTTATTGGTTTGAATTGGACCTGAACCGAATTTATAATAATCTAATCATGATGCCAAATCCTTGTCCAATTTGAAATCAATCAAGACTAAAGCCAGCATAAAATCAATTTTACGAAAGTACTTTTACGAAAATACTTTTATAAAAGCACTTTTATAAAAGTAATTTTATGAAAAGTATTTTTATGAAAGCACTTTTATAAAAATACTTTTACGAAAGCATTTTTAAAAAAGTACTTTTATGAAAACACTTTTATAGAAGTAGTTTTATAAAAACACTTTTACAAAAGCACTTTAATAAAATCACTTTTACAAAAGTACTTTTACGAAAGAACTTTTATAAAAGTACTTTTAAATGAAAACACTTTTATGAAATCACTTTTACAAAAAAACTTTTATGGAAATACTTTTATGAAAGCACTTTTATAGAAGTACTTTTATAAAAGAACTTTTATGGAATTACTTTTATAAAAGCACTTTTATGAATGCACTTTTATAAAAGCACTTTTATGAAAGCACTTTTATGAAAGCACTTTTATGAAAGCACTTTTACAAAAGCACTTCTACAAAAGTACTTTAATGAAAGCACTTTTATAAAAACACTTCTACAAGAAAAGTACTTTTATGAAAGCATTTTTATAAAAGTACTTTTATGGAAGTACTTTTATAAAAACACTTTTACGAAAATACTTTTATAAAAGTGGTTTTCTATAATTTTTTATTTCTCATTCGGTTTGGATATCCAATCCAATCCATTTATGTTTTAATGGATTGGATTGGATGTGGTTTGTATTAGATTTGGACTGAATTGGGTCCAGTCCATTTGTAAGTGAACTCACATTAGGCTGGATCGGATTGGACCAAATCCAGTCCAATTAACACCTCTAGCCCTATTGCATCAGTGCCTACACGATGAGCGATGGTGGCTACTGGGTCCGGATGTAGTAGGCACGTTAGGAAAGCACATTAAGTAAGCACCTAATAGCTGTGTGACACTTGTCCTAGCTATTAGGTGCCTTACGTCCAAACGTTTTTGTTCCGTTAGGTGCTTATCTATTATTTTATTATTTATGTAAAAAAATAAAAAAGGAAAACCTATCCCAATTAATGTGCCTTTCTCTCCATCTCAAACCTTTTGCCGTTTAGGGTTCTCCCACCTTGGGACTTTCAGCCGTTGCAACTGGTTGGTTGGGGCACCAGTTCTTGAAGCCCTCATTTGCGATTTCATCTCAAGAAACCCATTCATCCAATCTCTAGTCATCGTATTCCTCATTTGCAGGTTCTGAACTTCTCCCACCTTTGGACCTTTTAAGTAAATTACTAATTTTTGAAGAAATTGTTTATTTTATGATACTAGCATAGATGAATTTTAATGCTTATTGTATTTGTCTTGTTTTGTTTATTGAGAAAGACATAAACTATTATGATTCTGACTAAAAAAGACATAATTAATTCTRACAAAAAGATATGAATCAATTTTCTAGGAATACACATAAACTATTCTCACGAACTGATAGAGTTAATACCAGTGTTTCTACTTAGAGGTGTAAATCCGGTCGTGCCGCCTGCAACCCGACACGACGGTCYGCGGGCCGTGCCAAGCCCAACACGACTATGCAAGTGAATGAGGAATATGATGGCTAGAGATTGGATGAATGGGTTTCTTGAGATGAAATCGCAGGTGAGAGCTTCAAGAACTGCTGCCCCAACCAACCAATTGCAACGGCTGAAGGTCCATAGGTGGGAGAACCCTAAACCACTGTTTTCAAAACCGGATCGGACCGGATGGTCGGACTGGAAAAACCGGGAACCGGTCAATCTGTTTTCCTCCAAAACCGCTTTTCCCCCCCAAAACTGTTGATTTTGGTCAGCAAATCGCTGAACCGGTCGGTTAACCGTTTGAACCGTTCGAACCGTTTTGACCATTTTCCAATTTTTAAATTTTTTTATTATTTTTGTTAGAACAGGCTGGCCGTTCGGGTCGAATGGTCGGACCGTTCAAATTGATAACCGGACGCCTGACTGGGGTCACCGGTTCAATTTTAAAAACCATGCCCTAAACGACAAAAGGTTGGATATGGAGAAAAAGGCGCATTTATTTTATTTTATACAAATAATAAAATAATAGATAAACACCTAACGGAACAAAAACGTTTGGACGTAAGGCACCTAATAGGTGAGACAGTTGTCACACAGCTATTGGGTGCTTACTTAATGTGCTTTCCTAACGTGCCTACTACATCCCGACCGGGTGGCTAATATACGACCCCAACGCTACAAATGACATATCAAAAACAAAAAAAAAAACTCAATTGTGCCCATTGGTTTTTCTCTCTTACCAAATTATTCTTTCTTCTTCTTCTCTTGATATACTTATCTCTAATTCTCYATATTTCTAATTAATGAAAGGTAATCGTAGAAAAGCAACAATTATCGGCTCACCCTTGTTTTTGCCACGCCCGATCGAGGATCAGCTTGAGTTTTCTTCTTGTTCTCCGACGGTACTGCCTGAAACTTATTATGCCCGACAGTTCGAACCACAATTGGCCATGGACGCTGCCGGTCCAAGCTCCAACCTTAGTCATGGAGCCTCCTCCAAGAACATCTTTCGRTGTTTGGTTTGTTGTCCAAGAATCACAAAATCAAATAAGTAGGTTGAGGAATGACAATGGAAAAATAGAAGAAAGCCCATGCAGGCTCTCCTTTTTACTTTCTAATAATTGCACCTGGTTAATCAATTAACTAAAATATATATATATATATATATATATATTTTTTTTTTCCTTCTCCCTTAAACTTTAATGTTCTAATGAGATGCGAGAATGACAGTGAGTTTGTCGTTAACAAGCTGAGACTAGATCACGAATTAATTAGAGGTACCCAAAACCATCTCTACAGATGGTTTAAGTACGTTTAAATGCCCATAGAAATTGTTGGGGTATACGGTATACCGTCTTTAGCCATCGTATCCTGGTCCATGTCTACGAAATACTAATTACTCATTTTTAATTAACCACAGACCGACGACAGACGCTCAAGTTTCTTCTTCTACAAAAGTTGACTTCAGCCATTTCAATTACAACCCTTTTCGGGAATTTTCAAAATGAAAAATCGGAAACTACCATTTTTTTTTGACAAACGAAAATAACTATTACTTAGAAGCAAATATAACAGGGTCCACATCAGGGGGAAGGCTAGCCCATACAAACCTATTTACAAAAAAGTATTTTGCCACCCTGGGCTACATAATGGGCTGCCCTATATACAGACCTAGGAATAGCCCATACAATACACTTTATTCTAACGAGTATCGGATAAATATAGGTTGTGTTTGGTGCCACTATTGTTTTTACTTCAAACTTCTTGAATTGATCAATATAAGTTAGGTGAGAAATATGTGTCATTACATCACATATGAAAGTCATTTCAGCTATAGAAAAATGTATGTGTAGGACTGATGTTGATGTTTATAGTTAAGATTGTGAAGTTTCATGTTTCATGTAGAAACAACAATTTGGGGCCTTTGGACCATTGAAAATTTGATAAATTCTAAACCGAATTCGACCCAATTTAGTGCTCCACAACAACCAATATATTATTTTTTTCTTGCTAAAATAGCAAATACGTTATTATACTGTTTTTTCCACAAGTAGTGGCATATATTGCCGACAAGTTATTGCACAATATAATTCAAAGCGTGGAAGAAGAGGCCACGCCTGACAGCCTACTGGCTTTCTTATTAACGTCACAAGGATTCCACAATTAATTAATAAAAGTAAACTTATGTTGATAATAGATTATCATCATCTCAGCATGTTTCTCTTTTCCCCCATCCCCCTTTCAGAGACAATTTGAACTATTTACGGTATAATGTATAATCTGGGTCCCATGTCTTCACATTATCCATACCATTATTAAACTGACCGAATTGGTCAGGGGTCTGGTTATCGGTTTAAACAGTTTGACCATTCGATCTGAACGGCCGGCCCGTTTTAACAAAAAAAAAAATTAAAAAATTAGAAAATGGTCAAAATCGTTYGAACAATTAATCGGTTGGTTCAGCGGTTTACTGACCAAAATCAATGGTTTTACGGGAAAAACAGTTTTGGAGGAAAATAGAACCGGTCAGATGACCAGTTCCCGGTTTTTCCAATCCGGTTTTGAATTAATACAGATTTATCAACCAATACATATATATGGCAAAAATAATGTTTTATGGATTTAATCTGAATTAACCCAATTAGGAATATACAACAAAGCTCGTGCATCACACTGGCCATGACTGGTATAAGAATATAACAAATACATTGGGCTATTGAAAATTTGATAAATTCCAAACCGAGCATGACACGAGTTGCATACCTAGTAAAGATCTTAAGTGGTATTAAGAATGGCAATATTAGTGCCCAACAATAACCCATATATTATTTTTTCTTGGTAAAATAGCAAATACCTTATTATACTAAAGTTTCTTTCCGCATGTGGCGTATATTATCCACAAATTATTGCACAGTATAATTCAAAGCGTGGAGAAGAGGCCACGCCTGACAACCTACTGGCTTCATATTAACGTCACAAGGATTCCACAATATATATATATATATATATATATATTTTTTTTTTTTTTTGACAAAGGTAAAGATTATTAAAAGTAAACTTTATATATAGTTGATAATAGATTATCACCACATGGAATATTATATGATAAGGGGAAAAAGTTATAACCAATCAACCAGCATATAAAAGGGTTAACGTACCAATCAGATGAATATTCATCAAAATTAATTTATATAGGGTACTTTTGATTGTTAAAATTTTTTGCGGTATTATATCTTATTCGACATCTACACACGCAAAGCTAATGAATCTATAAATAGGAGAATTCACAAAGCAACTAATTACTTCTTTTCTTTTCTTCTGATATTTGCCCCCAACCTCCTCTGATCTTGTCCTCTATCCTCTAAACCCGACCAGCTTGTTCTATTAAAATTATGCTGAGACTTGGCATAATTCTCACCCTACTCATTTTCTGCACAACTTATTGGTCACATGGAACTAGCACAACTGCCATCCTTAAGGTAAGGTTGCTAGCTTTTTACACACACAAACGGGATGGGATGGGAATGGGATGGGTTATCTGAATTCTGATGAAGGCCAGGCGATATGGATGTACATTTGGAAACAATTTATGATACTGTGGATGTACATCAGAATTCAGATAACCCATCTGAATTCTGATGGGTTATCTGAATTCTAACATCCTACCCACAAGACACTATGGATGTACATTTGGAACATTTACTACGAATGGTAATATACAAGTACAAGAGATGACATTGTGCTGTAGTGTTTTGTGGATAGGAAAATCTCTGATCAGTTCAGACTTCAGAGTTCTCATATAGAAACAATTTATGATACTTAACTTTATGGAGTAGAGAACTTGATTCCTGTTCTCTTTTATCTTATTAACTAATTATATGTAGGAAGATAATGCATGTGTATATTTATTGATAAAAAATGGCAGCACTACATAGTTTACATGGGAGATCACTCGCACCCAAACTCAGATTCTGTGATCAGTGCCAATCATGATTTGCTTGCTTCAGTCCTTGGCAGGTAGGACATTAATTGGATTAGATCATGAGAGTACACCTACCCTTTAGGAAGTTCTGAACCTCTATGACCCCAACCTTTTTTCCAGTTATGAAGGAGCACAAGAGGCAGCGGTTCTCCATTATACGAAAAGCTTCAGAGGCTTCTCTGCCATGCTTACACCAGAATAAGCACAACTCCTTTCTGGTAAGTTTGTTCAACAAATATGAATGTGAGGCCGGGCTACCAAGGATTTTTGCAACACCAGCTGGAATTAATGAATGACTCTCCCTTGATGCTGCAGAGAGCGAATCGGTTGTTTCTGTCTTCGAGAGCAGGGAAAGTCATGTCCATACCACACACTCATGGGAGTTCCTAGGAGTCGATTCCATGTATCAATATAAGCAACTTCCAATTGACGTGAAATCCGATATGATTATCGGTGTTATCGACACCGGTAAATGCTCTTTTTGTTTATTTACTATAGAATGACACTTATAATATGGCTTTACGCAAGATTACCGATTTGTATTAATGTAAAGGAGTACGGAGAGTAACTTCATGACTGGTGGACTTGACAGGAATTTGGCCGGAATCAGAGAGCTTCGATGATAGAGGGTTAGGGCCAGTGCCCAAGAGATTCAAGGGGAAGTGTGTCCCCGGACAAAATTTTACAGTGGCTAATTGCAACAGGTATATATTATTAAGAGGTTAACGATAGGGGCCAGCCGATTGAATAGTAGATTTGAATACTGTATAAAGCATGAAATCTGGATTTCCAAGCTTTCTGCAATTACGTATATATGGGTATTGTTGATTTGAATTATGCAGGAAAGTTATAGGTGCCCGGTACTACACGAAAGGATATGAAGCAGAAATCGGTGCACCTCTTGAAGCTCTCGGCGTTCCTTTCTTCCGGTCAGCTCGAGATGAGAATGGGCATGGCACACACACTGCCTCAACAGCGGCAGGATCTGAAGTGAGCAATGCCAGCTTATTCGGCATGGCTGCTGGTGTTGCAAGAGGAGGTGCACCCACTGCTCGGCTTTCCATCTACAAGGCTTGTTGGCTTGCCGGGTGCAGTGATGCAGACCTACTCTCTGCCATTGATGATGCTATTGATGATGGTGTCGATATAATCTCGGTCTCAGTGGGCGGGACAAGTCCTACTTACTTTGTGGACACAATAGCCATCGGAGCCTTTCATGCATTTAAGAAGGGAATTCTGTTTTCAGCATCAGCTGGAAACAAGGGAGTTAGTCCGCTGTCATTGTCTAATGGGGCTCCTTGGATCCTCACGGTGGCAGCAAGTACTGTGGATCGAGAATTCAGATCGGATGTGTATCTTGGAAATTCCAAAGTTTTGAAGGTAATTATTAACTTACCAGCTGCTGGAATCTGTCTTTATTTGAGACGATTTATAAATTCCTGCAGATCAAAGTGCCTTAATACATTTTGATTGATCAGGGATACGCATTAAACCCATTCAAGATGGAAGGGTATTATGGTGTAATAAATGCTAGTGCTGCAGCTGCTCCAGGCGTTCCTTCTCGTAATGCAAGGTATGCATGTCCGCGTCTCATGGCTTAACCCCTTTAATTAATACCAATCGATATTATTTAGTTGTTCATGAAAATATTCCATCCAATCTTATGTCCTGAAACAAATGCTGCTGCCTTACTACTAGTTCTTTTCTAATGGGGTTTCAGTATTTCTTTGTTTGTTTAGCTTGTGCCAGAACAATACTCTTGATCCCACGTTGATTAAGGGAAAAATTGTGGTCTGCATCATGGGGTCGACGGACTCAGGGAAAAGCTTAAAACAGGGTGGCGCTAGAGGAGTTATATTCATTTATGAATTTTCCAAGGAGAAAGCAAACCTCCAGTTTGTCCTTCCAGCCACAATGATTGATGAAAATGAAGCAAAAGTTCTCCTAGCATATCTAGCTACAAAAAAGTAAGTAAACGACGATGGAATGTCGAGCAATTCAATGATTCATAAGCATGCAATTTGGCCCGGGTTGAACACCGACCTGATTAACCCAATTAAACGGATTAATGGGCTAATTTAACTTGGACCTGACTAACCCAATTTGGGTCGGGCTGGGTTGAGAATTTGCCAAAATTTTCAATGGGGGCAAGCCCTAACCCGGCTCAGCACGATGAAGTTGAAATTGTTCTCGTGCATGTATGGATGATTAATGTTTATTTTGCAAATAGGAATCCAACTGCAAAAATATCTCCCACGAAGACTGTTCTCAACACAAGTCCAGCACCGGTTGTGGCTAGGTTTTCTTCAAGAGGTCCTAATTTCATAACGCCTGATATTATCAAAGTATGTTTTATTTATTTATTTATTTATACCATCTATTGCTATTTTCTCTTGGAAATTCATAACATCAATGTTACTAAATGGATCAGGGTTGAACGCTACTAATTAAATTCGGGTAGGGTTGAGGAAATTGTGGTCGGGTTAGGTTCAGGGTTAATTATCGGCTATGTATAAGGTTCAAGGGTAAAGTAATCAACCCAACATCAGCTTAAGTCATCTATCCAGATGATTGAACCATTTCAGTCTAACTTTCGAATTTAAATCAACCTCCCACAATGTCCCATAGCACATCCCTATCATGTATTAGAGACATTTCTCGATGATAAAATCATCATTTATGATATTATCATCGGAAGATGTTATCAATATATAGCTGAAATATGCTGTGAAACATTGTGAGGGGCTGATTTGATCTCCTAACTTTCCCTCGTATATAAATATATATATATATATATATATATATATATACACCCTGCTCTAATTCTTCTGGAGTAGAGTCATGTATCCACTGACCGAGTACCAATTTAAGATTGTACCAATTTCGGGCTCAAATGGGTAGCATTATATGTATTAAGGAACAAAAGAGAAATAAGTTATAAACTTTTACATAACACAAAATGAAGTATAAAAAATTAATTTCTATTTTTCAACAAATTTTCATACTAATACAAAAGAAAAATATATGTTGCAGCCTGACATTACAGCCCCTGGAGTGCAAATTTTGGCAGCTTGGCCGCCAATAGCAACCGGCATAACTGGTGGTCGGCCTACTGACTATAACATAATATCTGGAACCTCCATGTCCTGCCCACATGTTGCAGGAGTTGCTGCTATTATAAAATCCCTTCATCCTTCATGGAGCCCATCAGCCATAAAATCGGCAATCATCACAACGGGTGAGAATATTATATGTTTATTTTAATTTACATAATTCATGGGTTTGATCTTCCACGTCAGCACCTCCACTTTAGGAGGGACAGTGTGAGATTAGAGATGTTCATATTAAAGAAAAAAAAAAACACCAACCAAATTCAGAAAACTGAACCAAAAAATCCGACTAACAGAACTGATTGATTAGTATTTTTCAGTAAACCTAAAAAAAAATCGGTGGTTGGTCGAACTGATCAGTATATATATATATATATATATATATATTTATAATTATTTATTTGTAATAATTTATTTATAATATATATTATAATATTATAAAACTAAAAAGCAAAAAACTGAAATGATCAACTTGCTAATCGATTTATTTTGGTTCTGTTTCAGTTTGGGATTTTACAAAAACTGAGTATATGTTTGGCATCGATGCTACAGAAAATGGTGCTGTTGATGTGTGGGTTGGAAGCACCGTTTTTTAAGAAACAGTGTCTTTTTTTTTGTTTGGAAACGTCGTTGTCAAGTAGGATGTTTCCTGGAACAACAACAATACTTTTTGTTTGGTATCAGTACTCCATATCTGTTTTTGGCACTCGTACCCATTATAAGAAATCCACGTCACTGCCACATCATATCTTTTTTGACAGCAACGAGCTCTAATCTAAAAAATGTCAAATTTAACATTGTTTCAAACCATACTTTCTCGATTTCTAAAGAGTGACTTGAAGCACTGTTTTTTATGAAAAACAGTTCCAAATAAACAAATGTTTCCTGGAACACCATTTTTTCCGACATAACACTGATGTATCACTGTTTTGTGGAACAACGACAATGATACCAAACAAACACTGAGAGACTGGTTCCCCCGAACTGTGAGCATCTCATGTAAGACTAGCCCAATTATTGGATCATGGGAATATTGTCAATATTTTGAGAGTGGTCCTATTTAACCAATAATAACACCCCATGTTTATTTATCCATCAAGTGTGCTGTGCATATTACCCCACAACTACTCCAATATCTCATTTTGCATATATTATTGGTTTAGCAGCCTGGAAAGGAACCTTCAAGTGCAGCTAATTTAGATTAATTGGCTCTATAGAACCTTAAACTTATTACAATAACAGCTAAGCAGGGTGTTGTGGCTTTAAGATCCAACATAAAAAAAGCATATCTGATATCCCTCCTTTCTAAAAATATTCAAAGTGAATTCTTCTTCTTTCTCCTCTTTCACATATTGACCATAACAGTTAGCTAGGTTGGTAGCTCAAGACCTTGCATTTTTAAGACATGCATTAAGTCTCAATCAATCCATATACATTTGTTTAAGAATAAATTAATTCTTCAAAGTGTTACTACTAATAGGAAACATGCATGCTCAACTCCTGACGAGCTCAAACAATAGTTTAATGCCAAATTACGTACCTATATATGAGCACATGATCATATTTATAATGTTCTTACAGTTTGTTTCTTTTTCCTACAGCTTCGGTACTTGACAACACTCAAAAACCCATATTAAGTATCTCATCAAGTGACTCTCTAGCGACACCTTTTGATTATGGGTCGGGACACATCAACCCAATTGCAGCAATAGATCCTGGACTAGTATATGAATTTGATTCCACAGATATCATCCAATTCCTCTGTAGTTATAATACTACAGCTTCTGAATTCTTCAACTTAGCAAGAAAGAGAATTGTTTGCAAAAGCCCATCAATTCCCTCCTACAATCTCAATTATCCTTCAATTGGAGTGGTAAATATGAATAGGAGCATAGCAGTACATCGAACAGTTACTTACTATGGTAAGGGCCGAACAATTTATGTTGCATCTATAAACAAGCCAGCAGGTGTGGACGTTGTGGTCAGACCTAGCAAGCTCAAATTCAGCAAAGCTGGTGAGAAGAAGTCTTTTGAGGTGCATTTTAAGCCCTACAAGAAAAGTAAAGAAAGCTTTGTCTTTGGGGACTTGACATGGAGCAATGGCATCCATAATGTTAGGAGTCCCATTGGCCTCAAAGTTCTCTCAGTCTAGCAATTTGGTGTTTAAGCAGCCTAGCTAACTATATTATGTACTCTTTTTCTCTTCTCCTAGACGATATTTCCGATAAAGAACCGTAGCAGGGAGTACACACACATGCTACTCCGTGGTTCCCAAGGAATAATAAAGAAGGACCTAGCTAGCAATTTCAGGCTTGTAAGTTGCATTACCATATGTAACTTTAGAATCTACTGAAACATACATAATGTAATTATAGCCAATGGTTCTTATGTTGTTGTCTTAGATTGTTTACATTCATATATGCAATTAATATTTTCTTTTAACACTAAATGCGTTTGAGGCTGGTCTAATTGAATAATTGTTCCAATCAACCTGGATTAAACACCAATAATTTTGTACCTTCCCTTCATTTGAACTAATTGAAGGGGAGGGGTGGGTGGGATTATTACGATCATCATCATAATCCAAGCCTTGTCCCATTTGTATAGAGACTATATATCATATGAATCATGTTTCACCATTCTATTTTGGTTAATTTTTATTGAATTTTGAGTGTTTGAATCATATCTTACTACCTTGACCAATGTCCCTTTTGGTCTTCCTCTAGCCCTCCTACCCCCTTTATCTTGCAACAAAGTTGTGAGATTATAATAAGTATTAATTAGTTACATGAGTTAATTTATATTAGTTACATGACCTATGTCTCTATTGTTGTGTGTCTTTAGAATCATGGTGATATGGTTTCTTTGCTTGGTTGCGCTAGACGACGCCAATTTGTTGTAAACAAAATTTGGTCAATTGATAAAAAAGATCCTATAAAGGGTAGAGTCCTAGAGTATGTCTCCTAGTTAGTTCTTTGATGCATAAGTCAAGAAGTGGGAAAGGGGTCACCAGGCCAAGCTGAGGAGGTTTGTCAGTGAGAAAAGCAAGGAAGCAGGGATCTAGAGTTCCAACTTTGATCTTTCCTGAGTAGCTCTGTCAATGGTCTACTGATCATCCCATAACCTTGGACAAATTTTCTAGAATACCCTATATATCAATCCTAAAAATCTTTGCAAGGACTTGATGGTAGTAGGTTTAGGTCATTGAAACATAATCTCAATCTTAAGCAGATCTTCTTTTACTACCTCAATTGTACTGATATGCCCTAAGTATTCATCCTGAGCTTGCCTAAATGAACATTTGAACATTTTGGCATAGAGATGATGTTGTCTTAGTGTAGAAAATATTGTTCTTAAGTGATCCAAGCGACTCTTCAAATATAGGCTATCAACTGAGATGTCATAAAAAAATATGATGACAAACATCCTCAAATATGGTGCAAATACCTCATTCATAAGGGTTTGAAAGGTGGCTAGGACATTGGTCAAGCCAAAAGGAATGGCCCTAAACTCATACTGACCATGATGAGTTTTAAAGGCACTAGTTTGTGGCATCCTCCTCTCTCACCTTGGTTTGATGGTGCCTTAACTCTAAGTCCAATTCTGAGTGCACCTTAGCACCATACAACTCATCTATTAACCATCTAAGGTAGGCATAGGAAACTTGTCATGATAGTCATCTCATTGACTTCTCTATAGTCTAAACAAAACTTCCAAATTCCATCTTCTTTCTCACCAAAAGCACGGGGGGAAGCAAAGGCTCTGCAGGGTAGCCCTTGTGTTCACACTTCATAGGAATGGAATTAAGCTTAAGAGGAATGTTGTTATCATGGTTTTTAGTGGGGGTGGCCCTTTTGGCTTATCAAAAACATCTTGAAATTCAACCACGAAAGCATGTTTCTATTAAACATAATTATATAACCGCCTAAACTTTATTAGTCTCCTCATTTTTATTCCTATAGTTATTGAATTTGGAAATCCTTACAATAATGTAGATCGAATGGTTTATGTCAGGGGTGAGAAAAAAAATCCGGAAAACCAAATCGACCGAAAAACTGATCAAAACTGAACCGAAAAATCAGTTAACCGAACCGATCAGTTTGGTTTCGGTTCGATGTTTTAAAAAAACCAACAGTTTTGATTAATCATTTAAAAAAAAACTGACAGTTAACTGAACCAACCGATATATATATACAATAATATATATTTATATATTATTTTTTATTGTTTTTTGAAAATCTAATAAATGCCGAATTGAGACTTTTCAGTTCGGCAGTCTAGACTCTAGAGTGTTTGCCAGTCTGGTAGACAACAGCCAGACTTTTCAGCCTGGCTTTTCCATTTTCCTTTCTTATCCTTTGTCTCTCTTTGAGCTCTCTCTCTCTCTCGACTCTCACTCTCTCAGACTCAGACTCCCACTCTCCTAGAGTCCCGGTCCCAATTTTCTTCTTCGTTCTTCCCCAACGGACCAACGGGCGATGGCCTTTGGCACTCCCAAAATTACTTATGAACTGCAATAGCTTCATAGACGGCCTTCGTCACTCCAAAAAATCAATGGACCAATGGGCGACGACCTTCACGCGATGGCCTTTGGCGCTCCCAACTGCAATAGCTTCGACGGACCAACAGGCAATGGCCTTCGACGCTCCCAAAAATCAATTTTCTTCTTTGTTCTTCCCTAGTCTCTAAACTCTTTCTCTCATCTCTGAGCTCTGTATGTTTCTCCCACTCTCCCACTCTCTCAGACTCCCACTCTCCCACTCTCTCAGACTCCCACTCTCCCTATCTCCAATTCCTTCTTTTTTTATAATTTTGAGGGCATAAGAAAAAACCGAAAAACTGAACTGCGGTTAACCGATCGACCGGTTGCATCGGTTCGATTTCGGTTCAGTTAAATATAAAAATTGAACAAGTTGGTTTGGTCCAAAAAATCATCCCACAGTTTGGTTAACTGAACTGTAAGCACCCCTARTTTATGTGGCAAATAAAAAAATTATTTCCAAACTTGATTGCTCCCAATCAAGCTATATTTGTACAAGGAAGAGAGGCCACTGGTAACATTAATCTCTTGCAAACAAATGTTTCACACCATGAAGAAATCAAAAGGAAAGTCAAGTTGGGTTGCAATTAAGGTAGACATGGAAAATGCTTTTGATAGGATTAGTTGGAAATCCTTATACCGATGGAAATCATGGGCTTTCCTTCTCAATATAATCAAATGATTGATCATTGTCTATCAACATCTATGTTTTCCGTTCTTCTAAATGGCGATCCTTCTTTTTTTTTTTTTGAATAAAAAAGGGATTGAGAAAAGGTGATCCCTTCTCTCCCTATATCTTTGTTCTTGGCATGTAGTATTTTTCAGCAATAATGTAGAAAGGTAAAGCTGAGAAATCAATTCAAGGTATCAAGATATTCCATGAAGCACCTTTAGTTTCTCTTCTCTTATTTGCAAATGATTACTATTTGCAAAGTTCACCCAAAGCAAATACTAAAGTTGAAAGATTTATTGGATCAATTTGAATAAGTTGATGGTCAAAAAATAAATTAACAAAAGTCAACAATTTTGTTTAGTGTAATAATGTTCCAAGGCTTCATTATTATTAGTACATCAAATAGCTGGTGGTTCTCAAGATGATGAATTCAAAGGATGAATACTTGGGCATGAATTTATGGGAGGGAAAAAATAAATGGCAAGAATACAAAGAAATTGTTGAAAGAGTGAAGAAGAGAATTGCCACTTGGCTGCAAGCTAAAAATTTATTACAAGTAGGGAGCATAATTACTTTGATGCAAGTAGTTTCTCAAGCCATATCTCTATATGAAATGCAAACATACTTAACACCCACTATAAAATTATAAAAAGTTGATTTTGGTGGAAATGGAACTTTAGGCTTCAAACCATAACTTGAAGGAAAAATGGTGAGACCTCAAAATGAAGGTGGTGTTGGAACTTTAGAGACAAAGATATGAAAAAAGGCTTCTTTGTTTTATTTTGAGTAGGAACAAAGTCTTATCTATAAATCAGCTAAGGAGGCTCTTCAATGATAGAAATAATCTACAGACAAATTAAGGTGATTTGTGCAAAGTATTTTGAAATCTTCTTCCATCATGTCAAGCCAAAATAATCCCATTCAATATGGTGGAATAATTTAATTAAACTAAAAGAAGAGGTGAAAAAGAATTTCTTCTGGAATAAAAGATGAATCACAAGTTTTTCTCTTTTCAAATCCATGGGTATCTGCTTCGTTGAGTGGTAAGGTTGACAAAATAGATAGAAGTCAAAAAATCATGTCCAAATTCTAGCAATGGTTGTGATCCCTAGTAGATTGGAAGAGGGAGACAAACTATTTGGAAACCTACARAAGATGGAATCTTCACAATTAAATCAGCATATAGAATATTTGTTCTTAACCAGGAATTAAGGCTCCGTTTGGATGCAGTGCAAATACAAATATGCACTATACATTTTTTGTGGAACTGGACACTGGTTCAAGTGTATGCAAAGTAGGGCTGCACATTCGGGAGCTCTTTGCACTCTCGTTGTTTGTTTTTGAAATACACATTTCCGCTGATTCATGTTTGGCTTTTTTATGGATACAAGATAAAGCATCCCAACTCCAAAAACTGCTATAGCCAATTTTTGTGCCAAACTTGACCATTTAAGGCAACAAATTTAACCGTTGGCCCACTTTCACAGTTTCTGATGTATTATGACCGTTACAGCTTTTTATTACCAATGGGGGGAAAATGGGCTTTGATTATTTGGTTCAAGTATCATTTTCTAAGCTGTTTTACAAGTCAATAGAACTTTGCATTCTACTATGGGTTGATATCCTATCAATGAAACTGAACTCTACATTCAACCCAGTACAAGATACTAAACTTTGCACAAGATGTTGAACTTTACATTCTACCCTGTTAGGTCATGTTTCTTTGAATAAAAGACAAGTATAAGATTGTAAGAACTACCCTACTAATTCAGTAATAGCAGTTCTAGAAAAGGAACCTGAGTCACAATTAATTGAACTCTGCATTATACCCTTATTATCTCCTCAAAACTTTGAAGACTTGAAGCAAACAAGAACCTTAGCAGGCCCTACTGCAAATTTCATTTCTGTATACACCCTGGAAGTTCCTAACTAAATATAACTACAAGACTTAAAGATGAAATTGAAGTCATGAGAAATCTTCATCTAGAATATGATAACTCAAGTTAGACTTTGTTTCCTAGCTT